AATTTTGTAGCCATGCTTCCTAGTCAAAGACAAAGAAATAGACAATACACACTAAGTAAGAAAGAGCATAATTTTATATATCACCATGCAGCTGCAAGAAAAAAGAAAGTCAGATGAAGTCCTGTACTGCACTGTGTTCCATTAAACAAACAGTTTCTTCTTATGGCTTTTATTTTTTATTACTCTTTCCATGACATTTGGTCAATATTCTTTGTGGATTTTTAAATGTGCTCACGTGCCTCTGATAATAAATGTAATCTCTCCTGTTGGCAAGCTGGTCTACCTTCTATAGTATGATTTTTTTCCCTGACACTAACAATTCTGTCTCTATAGAGGAAAACATAACCCGGCTTTGTACTGTAGATCGTGTTTTGTTTGCTGGCGTCTGCTGCATGCAGGTTAAAGAACACTTGTCTGCTGGCTGGAATGTTATATTGTAAACCTTTAGGTTTAAGCTCTAAAAGTCAAATCTATCTACACTCAAACTGACTTAGGACCAATGGAATGATAATTAATTTTGCAGACAAAATACACAAAGTTTTGTCATATGTTATTACATTCTGACATTTATAAGACAGTAATGAAGAACTACAATTAAATGCTTTTAGTGATCTACTGAGCTCCTCACTTAGTGACCAAAAAATGGTTAGCTTCTGTCAACACCTGTTTTATAGTAAAATTCCAAAATTTTCATAAACATTTTTGGCACTCTTTTAATCTCCTCTCTTCGATGTCTAGTATTTTGTTTAACTCTTGTCTTCTTTACAGTTATGTAATAATCTTTTCTAATCTGTCTACATTTTGAGCTAAAAGTTGTTTTTGCAGAAGTCAGTAGAACTGATGGTGTGCACATGAACAATTTGTTATCTATCATAATTTCAACAAGACTGAAAATTTGCTGAAGAAAATATAAACCATGGTTTGGTGTTCCAAATGAAAGAATATCAAAGGAACCATATGATACTATGTTTTCCAATATGTATAGCATAAATGTTACAAATATTATTAATCTGTTCTACTGCATGCAAAGTCTAACTTCTTTCAGCATCTGACTACCTCATCAAAAACAAAAAAGATAATTATCCTAAACTATATTTAAAATGAAAACACTGAATACTGGATAACAAAAATGAAGGTGTAAAAACCTTTCATCACTATCAGTCATTTACTGTAAGTTATTCTTCACTTCACCCCAAATCCTTTCCATTATTACAAAAGTGAAGCAAAGCCTCTGTGTTTTCTGTCTTAATCCTCCTTCTCAGATGCCTCTGCACAGCTGCTTTTTTTTTTTAAACCCACAAGCTTCTTGGTGAACTGCATTTGGAGCACAACAAGTTAGAGTTCACTTCATAAATCAGGAGCTCTTCAAACTTGTCATAAGCATATTACAGAAATACACACTACTGGTCAGGGTAGTGTGCTCTATTAATATTTCATTTTAGAACAGTATACTTGCATTAACTCTATTAACACAGGTATCATACTGTTTCAAGTCAGAGAACCTACAACGTTGTAACAAAGATTACACTAAGAGCAAGGCCTTGATAACTACAGCCATTAGTCCTGTCATCCCCTATAAAGTTAATGGGTCGGAAAAATGGTCAATCTTTGGCCTAAAAGTTGATATTTAATTGAAATAAAATGTTTTTTAATTGTAATGGAGATTTTGCATTAGTGTGAACATGGAAAGGCACTAAGGGAACTAATGCCAAGTTACATATTGATTCACATTTTAATACTAATGCAAACTGTTTGAATATTTCAACTTCACAAACAACTGCATCTATCCCTCAATTAAGATGTCTTATTTGCCTCAGAAGATCAAAAGTTATAATTAAATGGAAAAAATATTCTCCAATTTTTTTTCTCTTGGAGTATGGGATGAAATGTTGGAATGGCTGTTAACTCTGAGTGGCTCTTCAAAGGACTGATCAGGAAGCTGTGAGTTTGCTCTGCCTCTTCCATATGCAACTGTAAACCCAGCACTACAGAGTGTTAATCAAAATGGTTTTAGTGATTGTGGATTATAACAAGAGACCTAACAGAAGGTCTCTTCTGTGAAAGGGGTGGCCAAGAATTAACATATCTATAGCCCGGAAGGATGGAAGTATTTATAAAAGTTAGTTTTTTCCTGGAGAGGAAAAGGCTTGAGTTAAGTTGTCTAAAATTCTTAATCAATAATGGTTAGAACAATATCTGCAGTATATAGTAATTTTTCTCATGGAACCACTAGCAGTAGTTTAAAAAATGCTTCACAATGAGTAACTTCTTTAATCTACAAACAGATATGGTATATAGCAAAATCATTTTTATATAATAGCACAAAATGCTTTTGAAATTACACTGTAAAGTATGCATAAATAGTCATTCTCCAAGAGTGAGAGAAAATATAAAGTGAGATTTAGAAGTTAATATCAGTTATTTTCATGAAACTGCAAAACTGTAGGAAGACTGGAGGAAGGAGTTAAAATACATTGCAAAAATTATCACTGAAATTCTGCTATAAAGTTATTATGTTACTGAGTTCTTGTGCCTTGTTGTTAAGGTGCTTTTGCTATAGACCCTGTAGTCTACCATTTGTAAACACATCTTTTTGATGTTTCTGCCAACATCCTGGCAACAAAGCAGTGCAATTTCAAATGAGCTAATTAACTTAATTGTTGATGAAGCATGAAACAGTTCATTCACCCTGTTAGCTGCACCATGACAACGTAAGAGAGCCTGTGAAGTTACTCATCTATATAAACCTATCTGTAGCTTTCTATTAAGATTGGTTTCATGCCAAAAACAATATGGTTATTCTGACCAAACCCAAGCCACATAGCAAACATAATACATATAGCATGTCAGCATATCTGTGGCAAACTCCATGGAATATAGAATTGTCTGGAAATTGATAAATGGGAAAAAAAACCCTACTGCACTTTCAAGTTGTTGAAGAGCTATGCAATCTATTTTCTAAAAATTTAGACTTAGGCTGCTATTTAGAAAACTAACAACTACAACTGAACAACAACTAAAACAGTTCGACACTATGGCTATGTCTAGACTTCAGGCTTCTTTTGGAAGAAGCTTTTCCAGAAGAGATCTTCTAAAAAAAACTTCTTCTGAAAGAGAGCGCCTACACTGTCAAAGCGCATCAAAAAAGCGATCTGCTTTTTCAAAAGTTAATATCCACACTGAATGGACACTATCTTGCATTTAAGCTGCGATTACTACGGACAGAGTGGCCACTAGGGCACCTGTGTTATTCCTATTTCCTCATATTTCGAAAGAACTCTCTCTTCCTCATTGATACAGGCAGTCCCCGGGTTACGTACAAGATAGGGACTGTAGGTTTGTTCTTAAGTTGAATCTGTATGTAAGTCGGAACTGGCGTCCAGATTCAACTTAAGAACCCCAGGCATCCCCAAGTCAGCTGCTGCTGAAACTGATCGGGCACCTGTGTTATTCCTATTTCCTCATATTTCGAAAGAACTCTCTCTTCCTCATTGATACAGGCAGTCCCCGGGTTACGTACAAGATAGGGACTGTAGGTTTGTTCTTAAGTTGAATCTGTATGTAAGTCGGAACTGGCGTCCAGATTCAACTTAAGAACCCCAGGCATCCCCAAGTCAGCTGCTGCTGAAACTGATCGGCAGCTGATTCCAGGA